GGACAGGCTGAGGAAGTTGGGGTTGTTGTGCCTGGAGAAGAGAAGAATGTGCATGGAAACCTCAGAGCAACTTTTCAATATCTGAAGGGCCTACAAGGGAGCTGGAGAGGGATTCTGTGTTAGGAACTGCAGTGATAGGACAAGGGGTAATAGGTTCAAAATGAAGGAGGGAAAGTCTAGGTTGGATGTGAGAAAAAGGTTTTTCTCTGTGAGGGTGGTGAGCCACAGGCACAGGTTGCCCAGGGGCGTGGTGGCTGCCCCAACCCTGGCAGTGTTCAAGGCCAGGCTAGATGAGGCCTTGAGCAACCTGATCTAGTGAGGAGGTGTCCCTGCCCAGGGCAGGGTGCTGAGACTAGATGATCTGTAAGGTGCATTCCAACCCTCAAATTCTATGATTCTATGATCCTATGATAAGATCCACTTCAGACTGGCAGAGTCAACCCAAGAGCAATCCATATATCCAATCCTTTCTGCTTCCTCTTCTGTGATGATATATTGCAGTTTGCAGAAGAAAGAGATTGGAAGAGTTACCTAAACTAAGCCCAATTTATCTCTGAAAGGCTAAGGACCAAATAGCTACCCTGAAAGCACCAAAATTGCATAAAGTAAGGATTGTTTATTCTGGTTTGATGATATGGCATCAGCCTGTTTACCTTTTTCCCAAATTTCCAGAGAGATTAATTCAGGATTAAATTGGTGATGATTAATTTAAGATTAGGCTTGAGGCAGGAATGTCCCAGAGGGAGTTTGAGAGTTCACATCAAATTCCTTCACAAATTACAGAGCTTTTTTTTCCTTCAAATCCACTTTTCTGAGCAACTGCTGGTAAAGTTGTGCAGAGAGAAACGCTGTGCATTTGCCATGTGAATCTTTTAGCTGGGCCATTAGGAAAAACCTGGGAAGCTCCTGAGGAGGGCAAGAAAGGAGGAAAGGAAATTTCAAGAGGGTTTGAGGGGAGAATCAAAGACTGAGGAACATCAGCTTATACTTTGTAGACAAATCACACAAGTGACTGTTCACCTCTGCTGTAATTATCCAAGTTTAATCATTTTCTTAAGTCAGGACAGGTCCGGGTTCAGCTGATCATTGAACTGACATATATACATGGGAGTTTGCACTTTCACCACTGATCAATGCAACAACATTAAATTCAATACTCAGATCTTCATATTAACTTCATCTCTTTTCCCTGGTCTTTTTAATTTTGTTCTTAAATTAGAACTGTCTTAAACTCTGTGTGTTCTCATGGATATTTTGTTTTTAAAAGCTGAAACCACTTGGGCCATTGAGTTTTGCATTTGAAAGCTGAAAGCATGTTGAGTTTTAGTGAAATATTCTGGAAGGATGATGCAGTATCTCCTGGACTTTAACTCTGTGCCTGTTTGGATTCATAAACTTACTCATCTTGGACAGTTGATAGTAAGAGGTTGTAGGAAATGCTGATGCTATTTTGAGCTCAGAGTGCACTTTGTTGTGATTGTGAAACTCAGAACTGTTGTGCCATTATTTTCTCTTTCATTTACATAGGTTGAGCTGGAACCTGTGAAGCTTCTGTCTACACAAGACCACCTGGAGCACAGCCTGGCTGTTGAGAGGAGAAGAATCCGACTGGGCCACGTCCAGGTCTTCCAGAACCTAATGCAGGAGAGCAATAAGGAAGGTGATTACTGTGCTTTAGCACAGAAGGTGGAACAAAAGACCTAAGGGCAGCAGGAAGGAAGGAAAAAAGCAGACAAAACATCTCCATCTCCTTCAGGTTGTGGTAGAAAAGTGTGCGCCAGGTTTATGAGGGTGTAAGACACAGAGTGGTGTTTCTTTGCCTTTCATATTTGACAATGCAGGATTGAAGGGCAAGAATGCATTAAACAGATGTGAATTCAGCTCTTCATGTAGGTTCTGTGTGAAAGGTCTAACAGTTGACACAGAACTTTGCAGTACAGTGATAAAGTCCTTGTGGTATAGATAGAGGGATAAAATTCACTCTTGGCAAGAAAGCACTAGGGCTATGTTTGTGCCCTGAGATATTCCCCACAAGTGGGAGAAATTTCATCACATGGAGGTCAAAACAGGTAAAAAAAGTAAATTTAAACACCTCATGGCCAAATTCAGGAAAACTGAGCCAAGAAACAGGTTCCTCTTTATTTTTCATAGTGATTTCTCTAAGAAGAGAGACAGCTGTGCTCAAAAGTTGCTGTGTCTCCCTGCAAAAGGAATTATCCTCAAGTTAAGAAATGTACAGGTATTTGGAAAATCTGAGCTGTTAACTCCATGTGTAAACAACAGACTTCGTGTGGATTCATTGAGGGAAGAGTAAACCAGTGGTAAATATAGTTTCTAGAGTAAGACTCTGTAAAACTGAAGAATCTTGCAGGTGATTTTTCTTCATGGTAACTGTTTCACAGGGCACAGTTTAATACCCTGAAAGGGAAATCAGAGATTGGTGATTTTAATTTCCACTGCCTTGTGTGGAACTTCCTTGTAGGATGTTACTGTGGCACTACTTCACCTTTGTAAGGAGATGGGACAAGGAAAATAGGGGAAGGAGAGGAGAAAACTTTGCATGCAAAGGCAGCTAGGTAGCAAAGTAGGTATAAATCATACCCAGAAAGTGAAGGTTGCTGAGTGGGTCTTAGGCAACAGCTTAAGTAGGTCCAAAGTACAAGTTAGTCACATGTTTCCACACATTTATATAATCATAAGTTAGTTAATTATGGCAAAAGTCAAAAGTACAGTTCAGGTCAAATACCTTCCAGCACAGATATGTTAAAATGACTGATGTAATTTCATGCCTATATCTGTTCTTGCAAAATATCCCTGAATAAAACAAAGACTGGAGGATGTGTGGCCAAACACTTGAAAGTGATACTAGAAATTCTCAGATAAGTGATCACTAATTCAGATCCATGTTGTTTCTGGTAATCACCAGGTTTGTAACAAGCTGTGAAGTGATCGTGTTAACCTTCATCAGACACATTTGCCCAGGTGCTGATCACACACAGCAGCAGTCTTGGACAGACGTTTGAGTAAGGTATAAACTGCTCTGACAAAACCTGTCAGAGGTCAGGATGGAAATCCTGAGTAATCCCCAGCACGTGCCGAGGCTGTTGGCTGCCTGTGCTCACAGCCAGCCCAGCATCAGGGCAGCTGTTGCTGACAGAGCTGCTGAGAGGGATGTCATGAGGCCTGGGAGCTCTCGGGGCTGGTGCACCACCCCAAGCTCTGGCATCTATAGGAAGAGCAGAGCAAGTTCAGCCCCTTTGCAAAGAACAAAGTCTCTCTGTTTCTTTCGTTTGTATCATGTCTGAACCTGACTTCAGGCTGCAGTTACTGGGTGTTTTCACTAACTTCAGTGTTTCCTTCTGAAATGATTCACTGATGCTTTGCTGACATGTTTCAGATATTTTTGAAGAGGAAGATGCAGTTCCAACTGAACTTACTCACGTGCAGAGCATTGAGCTTGTCCTGCCTCCTCATGCAAACCATCATGGAAACACTTTTGGTGGCCAGATCATGGCTTGGATGGAGACAGTGGCCAGTATTTCAGCAAGGTACCCTCCCACATCATGGTCTCTGCACATAGTTCTAAATCTGCTTTTAATTTCAAGGGTTTAACATAGGTTTATCTATGAGGAATACCTAGACCCTTGTGACTCGTCTTCCTCTTCAAGTTGCAGGAAGTCTGTGAACTAGTTATGTGGTGCAGCTCCCACAGCAGGTTGTGCCACTGTCAGAGTCAAGTATTACAGACACAGACCCTGGGGCAAAACAGGCTGTGTTATCCTCCTGGGAATCTCTGCAGAGAGTCAGCACCAGGCATAGGAACAGAAACTTTTCCTCCTCATGCTTGGTGCAGTGTTTCAAAGCAAAGATAGTGGTTAAATCAGGATAAAACCAATACTGTCCCTGTATCAACTTAGATCCACAAATCAGTGACCTTCTAGAAGTTAATCTGCAGATCTTTCTGCCAGAGGAAGTGTAAGTCAGAGGAGAAGGATCCAAACAAACAGGTTCTGTGCTGCTGGAGTGCACACAGAATGGATGCACGACCTTCAGCAAGTCACTTGTCCTGTCAGTCCCTCTAAGTCCCACAGACCCTATGGGCTGCAACATGTTTTATCAGTTTACAGAGCTCTGGCATCTTCAGGTAAAGATTGTGTAGTGCCTTTTTTTTGTGGCACTGCTTGTCAGTGTGGCCTAGACATAGAACCATTTGATTTCACTTTGCCCTGAGGTCGAACACTTGTTTTTCTGCCTCCTTGCTCTTGGACACTGCACAAAGCCCCTTTCTAAGTAACGCTCAAGTTTCAGTTTGAATCCTCCTTGCATACCAAGTGACCTAATTCTCTGCAGGGATGTTAGATATGTCCTTTTGCTTTTTAACTTTAATAATTAAAATTACTTCCCCATTCATTATTCATATGGGTTTGATTTGTAGCCAGTGGTTGTACTGATAACAACAGATTTTCTGTACTGGTTGGGCAAACAGCTTGTTTTAGTAACAGAGTGCACTGAACTTACCCCAGAGAGTAATTCCACTGCCTTGAAGGGATTGTGGCAGATTTGTGCCATAATGTGACCCAAAATATTGACCTGTTTTCATAAATTTTACCCAGTGAGAGTCATGTTGAGGCTTAAAAAAGGAAGGGAAACATCAGCAAAGTGAGTATCGAACACCTTTTCTTTGAGCTAATCAATGTCAAACATGATTCATCATGTTGGAAGTTTCAGGAGTAGTATCTGGTGTCAGAGACTGGTTGGAAACAGAGGTTTTGTAAGTTTTGCTGTAGCTAATCTGACTATGAGCCATTTGTGAAGCCTCTCAGAGTTAGGTCTGAGCTTTGAAGGTGCCAGGTGGGAGTTGCTATGGACACAAACTGATGGAGGAAGGGAAGAGGAAGGATAATCCTTGATAAACACATTTCTGAAGGCATTTTAAAGACTGTCCATGCTCCTTCTGTGCTCTACCCCATTTTTTTCATCTAGACAGTACATGAAATATTGCAGACAGCAATAAAACCATTTGAATATTTGTAATATTAGTTTGAACTATGTAATTCCTTACTTCTTACAGATGCAGTGAAAGCATTTAGAGCATAATTTTCCATGGAAAAAAATGAATATTTAGGCTGTATTTCTGATTTTTTCTGTCTCACTTTCAACAATGTTATGTTTGCATCTCTGCAGTGAACACTGTAAATAAAATCAGTGTTTAGCATTTTTAATCAGAAGAGCAAGTTATTTCTAATTTAATTACAAAGCCATTTGAACCTGTTAAGCTATTAAATAGATGTACCAGGCAGCTAATTAGCTACAGATAATTATGCGCACTTAACAATGCTGGTATATTAGTTTTCAGAGTGCAACTGAACAGCAAAACTGTGTTTTCAGGTTTAAAAGCACAATGGCAGACTGATTCTCAGAGGTGCACGTGAGGAGCTCTGCACACGTAGGGAACAGTGTGTTTCCTCGGAGCCTGAAGATAAATGGCATTATTGTACATTGTTCCCTACCCATGTGCAGGATCCCAGTAAATAGTGAAAGGCTTTGACTGCTTTCAGAACTCTTGAAGGAACCTGTTTTTTGCCCATGTTTGAAAACAAACCAATGAGAGACTCCAAGTCAGAAATGCAATTTAGTAGGGAAAACAAAAAAAACAAACAGTGCAACAGTACAAAAAGAAACCACTAATAGAGTCAGAAAGCAACCTGACACCGTGTCAATGAGGGTGTTGGTAGTAGTCCAATTAAATTGTGGCTGCAGGACCTCTGGAGTGATCGTTCTCTTGGAGCAGTGATCCTGTAGATCTGGTCTTCACCTGAAGGTCCAGTGGTAGCTCCTGTCCTCTGGGAATCCATTACATAAGGGCTCCCTGTGCTGGTCCAAACCCCAGATTATATCCATGTGGGAATGCCTGACTCCCCCACCTTGGGGTGAAGCATCTCACAATGGGACCATGTAATTCTATGGGTCACACAGTGGGTCCTTGACAGCCCATTAAACAGAGATAGCTTCCTGAGGGAGTTACCAGGGGTGAGTCATGGTAGGACATAATGAGCACTGCCCCACCTGCTTTAACAGCTTGTGAAGAGGATAATAGAATACATACTATTGGTCTGGGTGTACAATGTAGGGTGTACTACATTGTAACCTAGGACAGCCGCCCACTATATCCCAATTACCCAAACTGCATTTGGCAGTTACATGATTAGTACATTTATTAGTCTTGTTTTATATCACACTAGCAGAAAACATCAGACAACCAAAAAAAAAAAGTACAAATATTAAAAATAATTGATAGACTGATGTTGCTTTGCTTGAACACTTGTTCCTGGTGCTCAGAAGCCCAGAATGGCTTGGATTTGAAAGGACCACAAAGGTTCATCTGGTCCCACCTCCCTGCTCAGGCAGGGCCAGCCCAGAGCACATGGCTCAGGGTTGTGTCTGGGTTGGTCTAGAATGCTTCCAGTGAGGAGAATCCAGGACCTATCTGAGCAACCTGTTCAGTGCTCAGTAACTGCACAGGAAAGTTCTTCCTTACATTCAGGTGGAGCTACCTGGGCATCAGTTTTTACTGTTGCCTCTTGTTTTACTGGTTTCCCCCACTGAGCAGTCTGATCATCCTCTTGGCACTTCCTGTCATGGACCTGAATCCATTAATGAGGATCCTGAGTCATCTCTTCTCAAGGCTGAACAACCCCAACTCCCTCAGCATTTCCTCATCACTGAGGTGCTCCAGTCCCTTCAGCTTCTTTGTGGCCTCCCCTGAACCTGCTCCAGGACCTCCATGTCCCTCTGGCACTGAGGAGCCCAGAACTGGCCACAGTCCTCCAGATGTGCCTCATGAGGGCTGAGCAGAGGGTCAGGATCACCTCCCTGACCTTCTGGCAATGCTCTTCCTGATGCATCCCAGGATTCCATTGACCTTCTTGGCCCCCAGGACACACTGCTGGGCAGGGACAGCTTGTTGCCCACCAGGACCCCCAGGTCCTTCCCTACAGAGCTGCTCTCCAGCAGGTCAGTGCCCAACCTGTCCTGGTGCTTGGGGTTGTTCCTCCCCAGAGCAGGACCTGTACTTGCCCTTGCTGACTTTCAGTTGGTTCTTCTCCAACCTGTCGAGGGCCCTCTGAAGGGCAGCACAGCCCTATGAGGTATCAGCTTCAGGCTCAACCTTTCTGTTGAGGTTTTCTTTTTCATTGTTCTAAGGCATTTTTACATCCTGCACAAGTTCCTTATTCTGTGCAGCCACACAGAAATTAATGAAACTCTGAGAGGTGAGTGGTTCCTCTGTAGGTGAGGGATTCATGGTCTGGCTCTACAAGAGGGTAGTGTCAAGCAGGGAGACTTAATTGGTCTTTTGTAAAGTGTGTTGAGAAGGAAACAGCATGACACAAGTGATATTCTTGTGTTTGGAGCTCAAGGTGTGTGCTTGTGGAGCTGAACTGTATTTCAAGGGGTTGGGGAACGAATTAGTGTGATGTAGTGATCATAGAATCATAGACTTCAGGGATTGGAATGGACCTTACAGATCATCCAGCCCCAACCACTTGCCCAATGCAGGAACACCTCCTCACTAGATCAGGTTGCTCAAGGCTTCATCCAGCCTGGCCTTGAACATCACCAGGGTTGGGGCAGCCACCATGACCAGTGGTGACCATGTGAGTCGTGCAAACCTTGTGGCTCTCATCACTGCACACCTCAAACCCATCAAAAGGAGGTTCTTCAGCACAACTGCATGTTTTACTCCCTCTCTTCCCTTTGTTTCCAGCCGCCTTTGTCGCTCCTATCCCGTCCTGAAGTCAGTCGACATGTTCAAGTTCTGGGGACCATCCTTTGTGGGTGACCGCCTTGTTTTCAATGCCATTGTGAACAACACCTTTCAGAACAGGTAAAGATTCTCACCTACTTGTCTTTCCTCATCTGCCTGTCTTCCTGGGCTTATCTAGCACCATCCCAAGCTGTGTGTCTCAGCTTTCAGCCATCAGTAGGGTTTGTGTTACTGAATGTGTTGGTTTTTCAGCTGGAACTTTGAGGGATAGAGAATCATGCACTCATAAATTGTTAAGGGATTGGAATGGACCTCAGAGATCATCCAGCCCCAAGCCCTGCCCTGGGCAGGGACACCTCCCACTAGAGCAGGTGGCTCAAGGCTTCATCCAAGCTGGCTTTGAGCACAGCCAGGGTTGGGGCAGCCGTCGCCTCCCTGGGCAACCTGTGCCAGTGTCTCACCACCTTCACAGGGAAAACTTCTGCCTGATATCTAACCTAAATTTCCCTCTTCCAGTGTATCCCCATGGCTTTAAACTTTCCTGCCCTTAAATTATTTGTCCTAAGTGCAGAGAAAATTATTGCTGTTCAATAAATTATGTTCAGTAGCAGATGCAATATTTTGCACAGCTCCAAATTATCTGCAGCTGAGGGCAGCACATGCTCTAACCTCTCATACCCATCCTCCTCCCCGTGAAGTTTTTTTATCTGATGGTGTAATGCCATTTCAGTATACAATGAGTGACATCCATGGAAAATCTTTCACACCAGTAGGAAGTTTCTCTTCCTGGTTGATTTTCTCATGCCAATTCACAGGTATAGCAGCAAGTGATATCTTTGTTGCTGTCTGATAACTACTGGGACTCATGCTAGATGGATTGCATTACAGAATCTCGAGCAAGCTGCTTCTCTTTCACTGGACAATCTTAGTGGGGACAGCATAATATTTTAATTATATACTTACGCACTATACTCTTTCCACTTACACCTATTACATACAGTTAAATCTATAAATATCTGTCTAGATGTGCTTTTTCTTTTACTTTTCTCAGTGAAAAATTTAAACAATTTATTGTCTTTCACTTTAAAGATAATTTGTGGCCAAATCCCACTCCTGCGAACACAGACCACAAATATCTCTCTGAAATTCAGGGATTTTCAAGGCATGAGTTGGTCCAGGAGCTGTGATTATTCAGGATACTTCACCTTGCACCCAGGATCTTCCTGTCGTGGCACCTGTTGAAGCTCTGGGTTCTATTTATTGCTTGTTTTGTTTTTTGCTCTTTAACTATTTCCACCTCTGATTTAATGTCTGAAATGTGTTTGCCCAGACTGAGTAACCTCTTTAGTGTTCTACAGGGGGTGTTTGGGTCAGGCTTCCTGTATACCTGGACGGACACACAGTCCTTCCCAACATGTTTCAGGGCTACTCCTGCATCACTTGTAGCAGTTTCCATAACTAATTTGAGCTTTAATTCCAGCGTAGAGGTTGGTGTCCGTGTTGAGGCTTATAACTGTGAGGAGTGGATCAGAGACCAGCCACGCCACATTAACAGTGCATTCCTCATCTTCAATGCTGTAAATGACAAAGGGGAGCTGCTCCCCTTCCCCAGAGTCAAACCGACCACGCAGGTGAGCTCCCGTCCGCAGGGCAGAGTGAATAAAGGTGTGAGCCCACATGGTCCAGCCCAGCACGCTGTGTGTATCACTGGTGACCACTTGCTAGGACTAAGCAGAGCAATGAAATGCATCTTCTTGCACAAGAGAAAACCTCTACATGAAATGGTCTGTCACTAACCTTCCTGCTCCAATTATATGGATTTTTAGAAAGACAGAAGAGACAGAAATTAAAGGGTCTAATATTTCATAGGAGAGCAACTAGACAAATAAATCAAGGTGAGGCAGTAAAGTGTGGCAGTAAAAACCCATTACAGGTTGTTCCAAGAGGAAAACCTTACTGTAAAAATCGATGCTTTTCTGTTCTTTGAGGAGCAAATGATGAATTGCACTCTTCTCCTAGGCAACCAGCAGTAGGACAAGAGGACACAGACTCAAGCTCTGCCAGGAGGGGTTTGAGTTGGATATTAGGAAGATATTTTTTACAGAGAGAGTAATCAGGCATTGGAATGGGCTGCCCAGGGAGATGGTGGATTCACCATCCCTGGA